CCATGGAGCCAGGGTGTGGAAGCTACCTGCAACCAAGACTCCCATGCTTAATTTGGCAGAGAAAAATAATCCAAACATTTTCAGAAATGTCATGTCAATTGGAAGAAAGGAGTACAGGAATTTAAATTACTCTAAGGGAATTTCTCTCAAGGGATTTTGGTCAATCTAAGCATATCAGTTTGCCAATCTCATGCAGAAGCATAAGCAAAACCTTAGAAAGAAGCTTAAGTTAACTGAATACTTTAAAATTGTAATTATTCTTAGATATATAGTTATTCATGAATAGTATGACATTTCATATGTAAACATATAGAGGGGAGAAAGGGAGGGTGGGTGAGGAAGGGAAAAGAAAAGAATGGTTGAGGAATGTAAAGTCACTCCGCTGTCTGAGCCTTCTCTTTAGGTTTGAGCATTGCTTTAATTCCCCCCGCCCCCCGCCACTTTCTCTCTATCTTTCTCCTTCTCTCTGCCTATATTTGTGTCTGTCAACTTCTTATCTCCATATTACTTTCTGTGGTACTGGAAATAAATAGCTCATGTCATATTTTTAATAACTGGCTTCATTGTACACATACACACATTATATGTATACAGTGGTTCCTCAGTTCTTGAATGCTTTTGTTCACAATTTGGTTCATAAACAAAAGCATTTTGCAAAATTTTGGTTTTTTTTACAAACTACGTTGAGGGACAAACATGTCCATCTGTCCCATACAAACACAAACATGGGGCTGGGGATTTAGCTCAGAGATTCCACTGTCTGCCCCACAAATGCAAGGACGTGAATTCAATCTCCAGTACCACAAAAAAAAAGTCCCACTGTAAACACAAACATGACCATCTTTTCCAAAATTGTGGAACAAATTAAGTTCATGAACCAAGGTACCACTACATAGGCATATATTTTTTCTTAAAATCTTTTTCTATATATTGGAAAACTTTTCAAATCTTGAGTTACTTTCTTCATTTTAACTCTTAAAGAATAATAATAATAATTGGTAATTATTAAGAATATCATAGGTGCCAAATGCTATTTTAAGTGTTTTACTATTATTTTACTGAATTTTCATAAAGACCAATTTGTGAGAGAAAAATAGAGTCACTGAGCATTTCAGTAAGTTATCTAAAGCCAAAAATCCCAGCCAGTTCACCTCCAGGACCTATGAGCAGAAGCACCATACTAAAATATACTGAATCTCTTTATAGGAAGGAGCCACCATTGCTTTAACAATTCACTACAGATGTACATTTAAGCTTTTCATGATTTTACATGATTAACACATATAATATAGTTAGTGGTAATGTGAATATTTAGTGGACATTGAGATATGAGGGATCAATTTCCACAGATGACTATTTCTTTTCATAAAATCTAAGTGTAATAAATGTTCAGATTTACATAGCTTTCAAAAAAATCATGAATTTTCCTCATAAACTATGGTAATTAACCATATGACAAACTCCCTATAATTAAGGGATAAATTGCTGGCATAAAAATAAAGCATGCTTGCATGCTATAATTACTCAGTAGCATATAGTTTATCAAATATGTACTTTGAACTGAAAGGTTATATAAGTACAGAACTTCTAGAAGAAATCCTTCGCTTTCTCCACACAAAACTGACAAGAAAATCATAGCTTGGCATAACAGTGCTAAAACTATTGGCCATGCCTGTGGGCCAAACTTTAAGTAAGGCTTCCTTTGTCTCCTAACTAATATCACTGTTCAACAATCAGTTACTAAAATCAAAGTGTTTGGGAAGAATTTTGCATCACTTTATTTACCAATGTGAACTATATCAAAGCAATGTATTTAATTTATATACTCCTTATCACAAGAAAAGTAGAAAAAGCTACTGCAGGCTACTCTTAAGTGATGATCTTCCTCTCTTTCTGGCTGATGAGCATAAATAATTTTTGCAGCACAGCTGGAACCTATATTCCTAGCATCTCACTTCCTAATCTACCTGTGGTCTGTGTGTGTGTGTGTGTGTGTGTGTTTGTGTTTATGTGTGTAGGAGCAGACCACGCCCAGTGCTAAAAGCATCCTTTCTGAAATGGAATAAACAGAGAGGGGGCCCATACACCCCCAAAAGTGAGAGTCAGTCAGTTTGAAACTATCTTCATTCCCCAGTACCAGAGTAAAACCAAAGCACAGGGATTTGACATGAAAAACAGCAACAAAATTAATAAAAGAAAGAAGTTAGTAAGTACTTATCTCTGGTAATTTATCAATTCTAATGGAATTGTTTCCTTTCACCATTTAATATTTTAAAACTCACTGTAAATAAAAATGAATTAGCATAAAATCAATAGGAATGTTGAAATCGTTTAATATAAGGAATAATGTAATAGTATATAAAATATTTGACAACATTGGAAGCTAATAAAAACTATAATGCAAACAAATATGCTAGAAAGTAGAAGACTGGTTATTATTCCAGTAAGTTTCATAGGAATACAAATAGAAAAGACTCCAATTGTTACATGAATTATTTTCTTCAAAATATATTTAAGATCTTTTCCTTAATTCCATTACTTTCTATCTTTATTTATTAAGTTAAACAAGATCTAATTTTGTATATATTATTTAGTTTTTATAACACAATTTTTTTCACATTAGATATGTGTCTCATAGCATTACACTGTATAATTTTTCTGTTGTTTATCACTTGGAAATTCAATTTCTTAACTGTAAATGGGAAAATTTATTATAATAGGATATCAGCTAAGCTCCTGTAGAAGAGAAATTTAAATAATCAAATGGCTGTGCTCACTTCCATAGCACGTAAACAATCAAAAGGCTCAGAAGAAAAAGCAGAAAGAGCAGCTTCATTTCTTTTTTGGAACCATCTAGTAGTGCAGGGTGTGTGGCCTCTGCTCTAAGAGTTCATCTAGTCACCTGAGCTGGCAGGGTAGATCGGTCCTCTTACCAAGGGACTTCCAGGATGGTTCCAGTCCTTAGCTTATCCATTTAGTGAGTATGGGTAGAGAACACCCAGGCAAGAGTCTTTAAGGAAGCACACCAGAGACTGAACTTATTCCTTTTGCTCACATTTCATTGTTCTAAACTTGATCACTGGACATACCTAAAGGCAAGAGAAGATGGGGAGTATAGACTACAGCTGGGCAGCTGGACCAGCATAGCTATATTGAGGGAGTCAACTAAAAAGGAAGAAGGGAAGATGGACTATTGCTGGTCTATGAGCAGTCTTTGCCACTATACTGAGGCCCAACTTTAAAAATTGTTATGAGGCCTGAGAATATATTTGTAGAGCACAGAAGTGTTTTCAGGGAACTTACAGAAACCGTCAGCACAGTATTTGACATTCACTTATATAAGATTATTAAATAGTAGCCATTATTAGCATTGAAATTATCATTATTATAATAAATTAGTATCTCTAGCCTCAATTAAATGTTTGAATTTCCTTCCATAGGATCACTGATAAGTGATTATTTAGCTATTCTGGAACTGCTTCAGTAAAAGGAAATAATTGCTCTTAGGGCAGTCATTCCAATTGAGAAAGTTCTTTTTCTCTTCTTTCCAGCCATTACTTATCTTCTTAAACCCACATTCTTTTCTTTTGTCCTGTTTGTCCTCTCTGAGGCCTTATAGAACAATTCTCATTAATTCATCTTACAATAGTCTTTCAGATACTTATAGAAAACTATGGCTTCTTCCATGAGTTTTCTTTCTCTTTAGTCTAATCATTTTTTGTTCCTCCAACAGTCTCTCATTATACATGATTTTTAATCCCTTCACCATCCTGGACCCATTCATTCACTCATTTAAAGCATATCAAGTGCTGGCTATTCTATTGTATCAATCTCCATCTGAAAAGTGTGTTGCCAAGGGCAGTTCAGAGTATTCCAGTTATTCTAACCAGAAATGAGCACAGCAGATCTTTGGTCTTCTCATTCAGGATATCAGTTTCCCTAAATGGGCCTTAAGATCATAGAGATTATTTTGGCAGCTATATCATGCTGTTGACATATGCTTGATAGTGGCCTTCTGTCCCCGCTGAGCATTTTTCATCTGTGCAGTAAACCTAAACGCGCCCTAACATACACAAGAACTTCCTTTTTGATCTAAATACAAAGCTTTTCTTTCTTTTTAGCAAATTAATTGTACCTTACTGAATTCTCTCAAGAACTCACATTCTTTCATCCAATTAAGCCTCACTGATTCCCACCCTCTATATACCTGATTAGCATGTCACTGAGCTCCTTATCTAAAACACTGATTAAAATGTAGAAATGGGCAGAACTGGGGAGAAGGCATGAGTAACCCTCTGGGAAATCATTTAACTAGTTATAAATACATGCAACCACATCAATATTATGAAACAGAAATATCCTTTCTGTTTACAAAAATCTCAAGAAGAGTTTTTGTTAAATCTCTGGCTCTGTACTCACTGCCATGCCAGGTGAGGCCATGGCTCTCTACTCAAAGTGCTCTATGATCTGGTTGCACCCAGCCCAGCCTGACCCTCAGTGTCTCCTTCACCAGGAAAGTGTGCCTGCTGTTTTCCTGCTGTCAGGCCTTTGTATGTTGAGGTTCAATAAATATTTATCGAGCCCTGATTGTGTGCCAGGAATTGTATAAACACTTTCTCATAAACATGGAGCATGGAATAAATGAAAAATTTCGTGAAAGAAATGCATATATTTTCAAGTGAAAGCATTTTATTATTTTGTCTATATGTGAAAGCAGTGCACCATATTTTTGACATGGAAGCGGTGCCAAAGTATTGCATGGATTCCACATGGAGGACTCAGCTCTGGGCATGAGGGATGCAGACAAATATTTTAAATGTGATAAGGATTTTTCTAAGATAATCTATTCAATGACTAAGTTCTTGCTAAATAGCACATCAAACTGTGAAGTTAAGTACACCAGCAATAGCTGTGCAGGCACTTTCCTGATACATGCGCAGAAATAATTATTAATTTGCTCTCAATAACAATGACAGTTTAGAATTTAAACTAGAAATCACCTGTACAGATGTTACCTTTTCCAAAGGACTTTCTACTCGAGGAATGCTGATCATTGGCATCTGGGCCAGGTTATCCATGTGTATATGTTCATTTTCTGGTTGTCGTCCTTTGAAATTATTTACCACACACACGACCTAAAATTTAAAATTAATTATAGGTAAGTAAAACCATAAATCTCTTGACTATCATTCTTTTGATTAGTATAATGCATTTAGATATAGTAATAAAGTATAAAATTACTTAAGAATTATGTATGTAAACTTTGATTTATTTCATATAAACTTTAATAGCTACTTCAATGCAGATAGGCTCAAAAATTTATCAATTAGTATGTAGCTCAATTAATAATGACAAATTCATCATTCCAAAATTTTCATTATAGTTAATTTTCAAATCAACCCCAAAATAACACCATAACCTTATAAAAATTCATAGCAAGCTAACCTTTCCCTAATGTGGCTAACCTACAAGTCAATTTAAATGCTAATTACTTTCCATTGCTTCAAGATTATTACATTCATGATAAACCTTTTACAATTGCCACTCTAATTCAGTAACATCCCTTTAATTAATCTACTTCATTGTCTATTATTATGCCACATATATACTTGGCATTTCAACAGTATCTAGGCTACTACTGAAATAGACGACCCTTTGCATAAAGGAAATTGACCCTTGTTTAAATTGATTATATCCCAGAGATGAAAGAATTTGAAGTCAACCAGAGTTTTTCATACTTTGTGTCCATAAAAATAATTTTAGCATTGTGAAAAATGCTAATTGTTATTCCCTCCTCTAGAGTTTTTCATATAGTAGGTTAAGAATGGGCCTAGCAGTTGGTACTATTAAATAGATAATGTGAAATCAAAAGGAAAGGTCCAAAGGGGAAGGGGAAGTTGCAGAGGTAGGGGAAAAGAAAGAAGGGAAAGGAATAAGTATGAGAAAAGGAAAAACTGGAAACAGTCTTTGTAAATAGGGAGGGGTGGAGGAGTTCAAGGGAGGGCAGGGGAATGGGGAAAAAAACAAGAACCAAGATATATCATGTAAACATACAAATTCCTAATGATGAATGTTATCATATTATATATCTAAAATGTACCAATAAAATTAATGAAAAAATACATTCTAGAATTTTCTGATGCAAATTGATCATATTTAAGAAATGATAAATTAAACACAGGAAAATTATTTGCTACTGTTTGCTTATGTTAACTGGTGGGCAAAATAGTGAGTATTCTTTTCATGAGTTGCATATATTATAAACCAAAATACAGAATTTACTTGCAGTTACAACCTACCATTCATTTTTTAAAAATAAATGTGTAACCTATAATAATACATTTACACAAAACACTAATTCTTCATTAGAAAGCAGAAATACTTGTTAATGAATATTTTTAAATATCCTTGGTTATTTTCCAACTTTTTAAATAAAATCTACAAATCTCCACTAACACTCTGTGAAATATCAGAAAAATATTTCCTTGCAAACTGCTATTTATTTCTTATCCTTCTGCTTTCTAAAAGAATTACAAGTTAGAAACATAAATCCTAATTATTTGATAACTCAGCTTTACTGATGTCACCAAGATCTGCAAGTAAGGAATGATAAGGGCTTGACTACGGGTACTTGGTAAATCCGCTGTCAAATGATGTTGCCAGCTTTGCCACCCCACAAAAGACTAATAGATACTGATTGCTGAGGAGATAGTCAGAAATTTTTGTCGGGAAACAAAAGATAGTATTTTTGGCTTTACAGGCTTACAGTCTCTGTGGGAACTTCTCAACTCTGCCCTTCTGATACAAAGCAGTCACCGACAGTTGATGAGTGGGTATGTTAATATTCCAATAAACTTTCTTTACAAAAACAAACAGCAGGTCAACTTTGGTTTGTAGGCTGTAGTTTACTGATTAACCACTGTCTACAATACAAAGGATATAATCAAGAATTTTAGCTGACAGTTAAAACAAAATAAATAGTCATCTCACATCTGCCCCACAAAACACAAACACATGCATATATTTTCTATTTCATTACTAAATAAATTATTGGAAAGTTGGATAGATGAAACATTGCTAAAAAATCTTCTGAAGTAGAATTTATTGAAATGCTGTAACTATGTACATAGACATTAAGAATTCATGGAATGAAGTTCATCTAGAGTTAATATAGGTATCTGAAACTAGTATAACTGGGTTTTTTTTAACATTATTTAGGTTTGGAAAACTCTTTGAAGGAATCTATGGGTTATCTCTTTGCCTTCATGAAAAGTTAGGTTCAGCTGGGTGTAGTGCTGCCTGCCTGTAGTCCCAGCACTCTGGGAGAATGAGGCAGGAATTCAAGCCCAGCCTGGAAAATTTAGTAATTTAGGAGACCCTGTCTCAAAATTTCAAAATTAAAAAGAAGAGTGTTGCTGGGATGTAGCTCAGTGCAAAGGCTGAGTTTAATCCCCAGTACTGAGAGAGAGAGAGAGAGAGAGAGAGAGAGAGAGAGAGAGAGGGAGAGAGATATGCTGAGAGAATTCATATGAGAAAAATTTAAGCACCTAATCCATAATAGAGACTGAATAAATGGCATATATTGACATAATAATTATTCTTCTTCACTCTTGGTATTTAAATCATAAGGAAGGAAATTACCAGATCTTCTTTAGAGTCATATTCAAACATTTAATTTTATTTATTTTATTTTGTTTTTTATAAATTTTATTTTATCCCATTTCCACCTCCAGCCCCCTTATTCAAACATTTAATAAGTTATCTGCTAACATCCACAAGTTCAGAATTGATTTATATTAGTAAAAACAAGAAAAAACAAGAGTCTGATTTTTTGATCCTGAATCTGTATTTTCTCAGACAGTTCTCCCGGTCTCAATTTCCTCATTAGAAGAGATTGAAACCCATCACTAAGTCAACTCCATTTATTTTTTTGGCAAAGGTATGACAAATTCAACAAACATTCAGCACTGAATCCAAAATTCACTCATCTCCTGCACCACTTCTGGACCCTCCAGGGAAAGGCCACGCCCCTCACCCAACCTTCACCACAATGCAGTTGTCTAAGGCTTAAAACTTTGGTTTATCTTTTACACTTCCTATACTCAATCACTGACTGAATCAGCTCAACTTTACTTCCTAAAATCCTTGATGATTAGAAATTTCATTTGAGCTAGCTATTCCTCAAAATGCTAAGGGTATCATATTACAATGCCAATATTTATAGCTGCAGAATTCATAATAGTTAAATTCTGGAAGAAGCCTGTATGTCCATCAACAGACAGATGGATAAAGAAAATGTGGCATCTATACACAACAGAATACTACTCAGTTACAAAGGACAACTGTCTAGATGTATAAATATGGATATATCTGGAAAATATAATATTAAATGAAGTATATCAGACACAGAAGCTTAAATACCATATGGTATCTCTCACATGAGTAAGGTAAAGTGTAAATACAGAGCAAATACAGGTTTGATAGAAGAAAACGGTGAGCTAGATATCATACAAATGGGAAGGAATCAAAGAGACCAGGGCAAGGGAGGGGAGCAAGAGAAAGGGAAGTAAAAAGATTTAAGATGTCTCATGTACATGTACCAAATACCTACAATGGAGGTTAACATTTTAAGTCATACATATGAACTAGAAGTAATAATATTAACAAATGAGGAAAGAGAATCTGGAAACAGAGGGAGGAAGGTAGATGAGGATGGGAAGGGGAATAAAACAGAATCAAGATATATTACGTATATGTACCTACTCCCTAAGACAAATGTAAACTTTTTGTATTACAAACATGTACTAATAAAATAAAATGTTTAAAAAACTGGATTTTGTCTATCTGCTTCATTCTATCTCCACCCTCAACTAAGTAATCACCACCTCTTGCCCACATCCCTGCATAACTTTCAAAGCTGTCCCCCTAAACCCAGTCTCACCAGTCTACAATCCATTTTCTGTAATAATGTGAGAATGATCTCTCTAAATGCAAATTGGATTACCTCATCCCTTTAGAGACATTTTGTGCCTGGGCCAGAGTGTCTATTTTGTGAGCTATTTAATACAATTTAGGTCTCCATTTTTAATATATGCAAAATGAGAACAATAACTACATTTCAGGGAGATGTTTGTAAGTATTAATGGCGTTAAGGTAGTAATGCCATGAATAACTTAGTGTTAGTATTGTATAAGGTAATAACTTGGTGTTATTATTATATAAGTTAAATATGATAAACTATTGTGGTTCAATAATTTGAACTATTCTGGATGACACTGTAATATATCATTTTTGGAAATATCTTGAGTCATACTTTTGGTAAAATAATTTAATCAATCAACAACTATTGTTCAACTGTGTTTTGTATAGGTATTCTGTTCTCTATCTTGAGTAAATGCACATGGAAGGTGATACATTTACATAATATAAATCCTGGTAAGATGATAACCGGACAGGCTGAAAGTGTGATAGTAATGAAGGAAAAATGGAAAGGCCAGGTAATGAAGGACGCTGCACGGGGAAATTGAAACGGGCTTCAGCCAAAGAATTTGAATATACTATAGTCGTCAAAGATGATGATCATGACATTTAGCACTTGCTTGGTACCAAGAACTTGTCTGTACTTACTACATTTGGGATTTCATTTAAAAGAGCTCTGGGAAGCAAATAAAATGGCTATTTATTCATTCATTCTTCAAATATTTACTAAGTACCCCTTATGTGCCAGACCCTGTTAGTCATGGGGATATGAAATAAAACAAATAGAAGACTTCTTCATGAGAAGCTTATGTTGTAGTGGAATTGAGAGTAAAACAAAATGTTTTGTGTAGTATATTCAGATTTGAAATGTGTTATGGAGAAAAGTAAAACAAGGACTGAGAAAAGGAATCTTCTTCAGGAGGAGTAGTTGTTTCACACATGAGTCAGGAAAGGCCTCACTATTTCAGAATAATGAAGAGCTAATTGACAGGTACAAGGTCAAGCATACAACAAGCATCAAAAGCAGAATTCAGAGGAAGATTTTTCTGACTACCTCCTGTTTTGCTCTCTGGAATATATAGAAGAAAGAACATGCCCCCTGAGGCAAATGTGCAAGATGGACAGAGGTTGTTTGTGACAGGGGAAGAAAGTTGATTGGACTGAAAGTGCATAATTTACATACATAATTTACATACATAATTTACATACATAGGGGGACAAAAATTTTGGTAGAAAGATTACAGCCAGGTTATTGAGGACACAGAAACCCAACGAAAGTGTCTGGTTTTGATATAGCAGGAAGGAAGTTTAGGTTTTGCTTTGTTAGTAGGAGTAAGTTGTTATAACATGCATAGACCCAAATGGGAGGAGTGGTATTTGGAAGAAAGTCAGAAGTGAGGAAGCAGCTAAGAACCTATGCATATAACAGAGGTGAGAAGTAATAATCTCTGGAGTGAGAGCTTCTGGCCAGAAAAGCAAAGATACAAGACATGGAAGAGATAGTTTTAGTAGTGGAAATGAATTTGAACTAGATCAATCACTGGTAGTAGAGGATGAACCAGAAGAGTCAAAGGCAAATGCTAGGCCAAGAGTCAGGGGATGGGGGTGGAACTTTAACAGAGCCAAAGAGACTTGGAGCAGGTTAATGTTCATTTTACTTTGGAATCATGTTTGAATCCCACACACACTGCCAAATAATTGAAAACACTCCAGCATATTGGAAGCCAGAGCTAAAGTCACTGCTTAAAATAAATGTTCTACTGAGTTGTCCAAATGAGAGGCTAGGGAATCATCATAGATTGCTCCCTCCAATTGCCTCACCTGAATCACTTCCAGATGTTTCCTCAGGCTCCAATCCATTCCACTTCACCAATCCATTCACCTGTCCTCCTTAAGATCTTCCCCTCTATTGGTGCCACTGAGATCCAATTTGCACCATTTTATTTCCCTGGTTCTGTGTATCTTGTCTTCTCTATTCTCACGTGGAGTTTTTTTTTTTCCAGCAAAGATATTTCAAAGCACAAACATCACAGAGTAAAAGGGAATGAGATGAAACTTTGGGACTTGTCATTCATGTAGCCACATACCAAACATCCACTATTCCTTTTAATCTTTGTAATGCTTAAGAATGATCCCTTGGGGAGGGTGTGATTCATCTTATTTAAAGAGGGAGATGCTGGGGCTTTAAAAGGCTAAGTAAATAACTGGCACAAGATGAGTACTTGAGTAAGTTGGGATTCAACCAGGCTGTGTTTTTTTAAAATGGGTTAAAGTCTAATAGGGGCTCCTAAATCTCCTATATTTAGAAAAAAAAAAAAAAGCCAGGTGATTATCATGACAAAAAAGGTCATTCAGGATACCTCCACCAGGTCCTTTTCCAGTCCCATCTCTTGTCACTCATGCAAGAGAACTGCTACCATTCCAGGAAGCCATGCTCCTTCGTGAGCAAGCTGTGCCCTGTCTCTGGAATATAGCAGGGGCTCTGTGCATGCCAGAGCTATGAAGTGTCTTGTCTGCCTTTGTGCACTGTGCCATTTGCCCCTCATTGCTTGTGACCAACCTAGATTGACTTACTTCACACACTTGAAGAGCTTACAAAAGGAAAGCTGAGATATTACTTCTGTTTTTTGATTTGCGCTTAATCCCAACAGAGTTCATCTCTTGAATATTGGTACTTCTATCATTACATTTAACCCTTTGTAAAACTTTATGTCTGTTTTTTCCACCAGGCTGTTATCTCCTTAAGTGCATGGACTATATTTTTTTCCGCTATTTGTTTCCAGCATCAAGCACAGTGCCTGGATTAGAACAGAGATGTTCGTTTTATGATGAAAGAAAAGGAGATGACATTTGAAATAATACCAGTATTGTTTGATTCTTTTGGAAACAGACTATGTTTATCTGAATTTCCTTGCATCTCCACTTCTTGCACAATGCTTGGTAATAGGCACCCACATTCATAAACTCTCAAGAATGAACATGTATATGCATGTTTATTTATTATATGGTTAAAGCACTGTCTTTGCGTGGCCTTTGCATGAAGTCATTTCCCTGGATATATGGGAGTGTTTGAAGGGCAATCTGGAAGTGTTCTGAATGTACACAATGAGAAGGTCTTGTGTATGCACAAGGAGAATACGTAGTACACCTCATCATTCACTACATGGTTCACAGACTGGGAAGTGACCAGGAAACCACCACTGTTCTGGTTTTGGCTTTGCAAAGTGTTACAGTGGTTACTAGAAGTAATAGTAGGATGGCAGACAACAACCAAAGGAAGACCAACAGTAAGGCTGATGAGATGCCAGTGAATAAATTTTGGACCTAGGGAGCTGAAACACAGTTTCAGTTCTGCCACTAACACTTTGACTGGTGTGTTCTTTGGTTAAGATTTATGGGGGCTGGGGATTTAGCTCAGTGGTTCTGCCACCTGCCTCACAAGCGCAAGGACCTGAGTTCGATCCCCAGTAACAAAAATAATAACACCCCCCAGAAGATTTATGTATGATTTTGTTTTGTTTTGAATACTAACCAGTTTCAATTGTGGTGAGTGAAATCAAGGAAGAAGTTTTAGTTATTTTGGGTCCCATTCTTTATGAGGCTACAGGATATCTCTAAAAGTGATGTCTTAAATCAGTAAGTTTGGCCTGTTTCTGCACTTGGATGACCAAATTTGTCCTATATGGTGTCTGCATATAGTGAGAAATATTGTAGATTGGTATGTAAATAAATTGGAACCTAATCTACAACCATTCACCTGCAACCAATCAACTAAATCTTAGCCATTCATACAGCTGAATCTCCAGCCAATCAGAGGCTGAAAGCTGCTAGAACATGATTATACAAGGCAAATACTGCATGCACCCAATCAGGTTGTTCCTTTATGTCATTTCTTTTCCTTTTGCTATAAATATAACCCATACAAATGCTAAGGTGAGGCATTCAACTTTGGTCTGCAATGGTACTCAATTTTAAAATTCTTTTTTCCCTCAAACTTTATTAAATTTAACTCATCTCAGCAATTTTTTTTTTAACAGAGGGTTGGAAGTCCCTCAACAACCTTGAGAGTTGAAGTGAGTAACATCATACACACATACAAATGTACAGCAGGTAGAATAGATGTAAGGTCCCAGTCAGCACCTTACCACAGAGAAGTCTTGAGGAAATAACCTACTTAAGCTACAGGTGCATAAGTTGTGATCAAACATTCGTTAACTAGAGAGGTTTACGTACATTTTTGCTTATGGGTAATCAACTAGTGAAAGAATGTTGAGGAAGAAACGATTAAGAGTAAAAACCAATTTAAATATAATAAAAATGGAAATAAAGCCTTTCTTAAATTATGATATGTCCATACAGAAATACATCTTGATTTATAGTCTGTTCAGTTTGTCACCTAGGTAAAATACTATATAACTACATTTACAATGTATTGATAAACTCTAAAATACATTTTCCACAATCAGTACTCACATAAATATTCTAAGGATACTTTTTAATAAAAGCATAGATGTTTACATCATTAGAAGTCTCCTACTATGCTCACTACACAGTAAAGTATGATTTGAGATGGTGCTGTCTTAGAAACTATCTGTAACTGTTTAGTTACTGAAATGAAGTGACCCATGTCGCAAGGAAGCACTGTCAGCAGCCTTGTGACCTGTGGGCTCATGCAGAAGACAGGAGCGGGACTAGGGAACTCTGAGATGAGGCTTAGATAGTCCTGATGCAAACTACACCATGGAAAAATTTTAGATGCCTAATATCCAGGTCTTAAAAAGTAGCCAAGGAGGACTGTTTTTAGCCCTGCTCCATTTTATATGAAAGTATTTTGTTCACCTTTAAGTACAGAATTTATTTTTTTCATTTCTAAACCTGATTTAAAGCAGAATAAATGGGAGGGCTCATGACTGGGAATATATATTCTTATTTGTTATATTACATTTAGATAAACTCAGTGTTTCACTCCTGTATTTTCTTGTAGGTAGTTATTTAAATTCATTAAATAATCAATAATATCTAAATAAATTTGTACTTACCAGAAATACTGCTATAGATATTCCAACCAGAAAGCCTGCTATCACATCTGACCAATGATTTCGATATTCTGCTACTCTGTTGAGTCCGGTAAGAAAGGCTAAACACATTAATCCCAAGCATAGAACTGGCTTAGCAAGTCTGGTTCCTTTGGCTTTGATTGTGTTGGTAATGTACATCTGAAACAGTAAGTAAAAAAATGTGACTTTTCATGAAGTTATTTCCTTTATATGTACATATAGCACATTATGTATATATACTTATATATATTTATAGATATATATGTTTATTTGGTTCAAATCACTAACTATAATTTATATATTTTTGAAGGAAGTTTCTTAAAAGCAGAGTTCAAGTAGCAATTATTAAGTTTTACACCTAATAAGGCTACATATTTTGGTCAATTCTTATGTAATAATGTCTAATTATCTAGGAATAATGACCACAGATATTCCAAGTGACCTTTTTTCTTTTCCAATTTTTAATGTACCTTTTAAGGTATTACTTGAATTTATATTTTAGATCAATTGCAACAGTATTGTTAGAATGAGAAAGTTGATATTTTTAATGCTTTTATCTTTAAATAATACACTGAGAGGATGTAAACTTGATAAAACCAGAATAGTGAATATAGTTAGAAAAACAGAATGGAGATTTCCACTATATAAATGTTACTCTGAAGAAGAAATTTAAGGTTCAATTCAATGCCAATATTTGCTTTTATGTTGTTATTTGAAATTGTGTAATTACTCTGTTTAAATTTATCAGCAAAAACTAGGACAACAAAGAAAATTGTAATGATTAAAATGTGTAAACTAAAAGCAAAAAAACCCAATGAAATGATACCTATATTTTGGCATTTTCACATATGCTAATAAAGAACATATAGTGTCAATTCATAGCACTGAATGAAATATATCTAAGTTGGGAGATACCATCCTTAAGAGTAATTGGTCCTTCTAATCTGATTAATTCTACTGCTCAACTGTTCATAATTTAAAGCATGTAATAGTCTATCAGCAAACCTGTTGACTGTACTTGGAATGTGTCAATTTTTATTCAAGTCAATAGTAAATTACTTATATAAGAGATGGCTTTGAGAGAACAATTTTAGAGTAGATTTTATGGTGTTAATGACAGGAAGTATCTCATACTAATATTATACTCAGAAAAATACTTAGAAATTGATATAATCACTTGACTATTATCCTGATTGAATAAAAAATACATTTACATAAGAAAATAAACCAAAATTAGTTCCTCACAACCATTTTAGAATGCTATGAAATTCAGTAATTATCTTCTGCATTGTTTGTTTTCTAGGTAATATATGCAGTACTGTTAGCTACCAGAAGAAGCCATATGGATATTTAAACAGTTCAAATAGTATAAGTCTTCTCTAGCCAAGTTCTGACCCTTTGTGATCTATCCCAGGTCCCAGTACTCTGAAGGAAAAAATTCTGGATTGTCTCCGGGTTGCACTCTTCCTTTAGAGCTAGGTCTATATATTCTCAGATTCTCTTTGGAAAGGCTTAACAAGTTCAGTCAAAGAGGATAAGCGTTCATAAGAAGGAAACAAGAAGAGATGTGAACGAGGAAAAGATGTTTTTGCCACTCTGAGAGAATGTGTTAAGAGCTCTGTCTGCAGGCATAACAAGGCAGGGATATCATGACATTTCCGGTTGCCAGTGATGCAGCTAACTGAGCAATTCCTTGGATGACTCGTGTATATGAATAGGGAGTGAGATTTAGGCTGCTGCTGGAATTTTCTTTAACACAGTCATAAAGGTGCTTGATTGACTCCTTCCTTTTGCATTTCTTCACATCTCAAAACTAAAGATAGCCTATTCTTATTAGGACAAAATAAATGTGAGATAATCAAATAATATGAATACCACTAATATTAATTATAGCTATCATTTAGTGATAGCTGTCATCTAGGGCAATGTCCTAAGCATTTACATTATCTCATGAAATCCTCAAACAACATTATAAGTTATCATTATTACCTTCATTGGATAGGTAAAAAAATGGAATCAAGATAAAGCTTACTATGAAGAATGTACAACTTGAGGTGCTACTGCTGAGAAATAAGAGGCTGTAACTGGAAAGTAGGAGGAAAGCACTCAGTTACTTCTGAATCTTAAGTATTTAAGTATCTCTTACTTTTCCTTTCTTCTTTTTCCATTGGTTCCTTGGGGGTGGGGAGAAGTGACTGAAGGACATAAACTGAGTGTCAGAAAATAAGAGAGAGCTGGAATTAAAGACAGGAGGATGACAGTCCCAATAATATCACAGAACTGAGGCCGCATCTGAGCTTTGCCATTAAGGAGAATAAGGAGAAAAGGGAAGTAGGGTAAATGTAGTCCATATGCAGAATCTTCTAGAGAATCAACATGGCTTTGATAAGTGCTTTGTTCCCCTCCTGCCGGAAGGCCGTCTCAGGTACCACCCAGCTCTTGTTCAAACTGTAGAGGCCCACAGTGACTTGTAGGTTTAAGCAAAAACCTTCTGATGTTTCTCAGTTGTGTCCTAAATTGCCCTAATGACTCAAATACATAAAGCCCCAAAATGGCTACTAATCAAACTACTAAAAGAGTATCAATATTGTAAGTTGTCTGAGATTTGTATTTTCCTACCTCAGATCCCTACTTGATATTCACAATGAGCAGGGCAAATGTGAAGTGATTGAATTTCCAAGGGTTATGGGTATTCAAGAGTTAGAGATTTAACTTTAAGGTGGATTATGACTGTGCTTTAAAATGCACAGGTTTGTCTGGAATGGAATCACCAAGGATATAACAAAAGAAAAATTAAAGAGTTTTCACTTGGACTTGGCAACTCTGGTACTTTATAAATATAAGTGTGTTTTAAGCAGTCAAATTGTGTTACCCTTGCAGAAAGTCTATTATTCTCAGTTTACAGAAGAGGAAATTATGGCATAATAATCTATTAGGCAAGTTGGATATAGGACAGGAATTGATTATTTATGCTCTCTTGGTTTTTAATTCACTTATGAAGCCATCTAGGTTAACCAGATGTCAAAATGTAGCTAAAATAAGCACAAACAGAAGGATAATATGACTTGAGCAGGATGATATTTATACAATTGTCAAGGGTCAGTGGGTGCTCACTATCTTACAGTCAAACCACTTAACCATACTAGCGTTCCTCATTCATTCAACAAATATCTCTTAGCACTAAGATGCAGAAAACTAAAGTTAATTATTTTCTCCCTGCTAATAGCCTGATTCCTTTATACCTTTCTCTTTGCTTATTCACAATATGGTATGGTGCTTTGATGAATAGTTTGCACTAAAAGAGAGTCAGAGGCTCAGAAACAAAAATTTTTCTCTGCCCTTCTCCCCTGCCCTTCTATCTTCCACTGAAGCAAGTGGAAGAATTCCGCCCTTCTCCCTGGAAGCAAGTCATAGAAACTAGAATGGTTTTTCCCTAAGGAAGGTCATGAAACAGAAAATTTCTTACTATTCAAACACTCTCTTTTGTCCAATCATATTTCTACATGATTGTCTATTCTTTTTTTCCCCTTAAATTCTCTTATTGGTACATTTTAGGTACACAATACATTTACATTTACCATTGGGAACTTGTACCTTTACATGATGTATCTTGGTTCTTATTTTTTCCCTATTCTCCTGCCCTCCCTTGGACTCCTCCACCCCTCCCTATTTACAAAGGCTTTGTTTCCTATTTTTCCTTTTCTCATATTGTTTCCTTTCCCTTCTTCCCTTTCCCCTACCCCTCTCACTTCCCCTACCCCTTTGGACCTTTCTTTCCTATTTCACATTATTAATTATTCATTTTAATCCTTATTTACACTTTTGGTTTCTCACACCAGAGAAACTGTCTATTCTTCATTGAACCTAAGCATAAACATGTGTCTTCATTTCTTAAGTTTCTTATGTCACTTAAAACTTGATGAAATACATTTATTATCCATTCTCTTGTTAACCTGTCATTTGTTATAGGACCACTGGCCATGCATCCTAGGGTAACACAACTTTCTGCCCCACAAAAGTCATAAGGTTTATATATTACAATCTAGATTGTGTAAAGGATGTCGCTATTCTATTTTCCATAATGATCTAAACTTCATCATGAGTAACACTTGGATGAGGAGGGAGGAATCATGAATAGATAGTCAGTTATTCATGGTTTCTTACTTTTAATTAGGCAACACTGCAGTCTAGTTAGATGCCTGTAAGACCTCATGACTGACATGAGGAAACAAACTGAGAGCAGTGACCCAGGACTAATGTTCAAAGTACCCTCTCTGTCTTCCCTGGCCTCCACTGTCATGTGAATGCCCCACTGTGTCACTGAGACTCTACTGACAACCACTGCTAATACGTTTGTGGCTTCATGCTGATTTGGTCCATCTAAGCTTACAGGTGATAAAGATCCTTTCATCTCCAGCACATCTTCCTTGTAATCCATGATGGGACGCAGGTTCCTCTCATGGCAGTGACTGATGTGCTGCTTGATCTGTCTCAGGGGTCTTTAAAGGGGAAGTTCTCCCAGTTTCAAGTCAAAAATGAGGTAGAAGACCCTCCACTTTTTGTTATTCAAGGATCACTTCTTTCTCTGGGCTTCAAACCTCAGGGTGGACCCCTTGGGGTGCCATTATATCCTTCCATCTCCTAGAATCTTCTCCCTCCTCCTAGGTTAACAGCACTGTCCTTTACATTATGTCCCATGTTCTCTCTATTATTGACTTAAAAGACTCAAATCTCTAATTTTGCTTTTGATGTGCAAAAGTACTTTGGGGTTTTCTAAAATCCTATACCCTCTTGACAAAGACCCTTCTATTAATGCCTCCCCTTCTCTGAGGCCTTCAATCTAATATGGAAGCTTCTAGCTATTGTAGGTATTGAGCATTATAAATGTGCCCAGTGTGACTGTGGTACCAAAGCTTTAATTCCTTCTGAGTTTAATTAAATGTAAACCTCAAAGTATTTGCTAGATTATTACTGGAAGCCTTTCAAATATGAAACTACTGGAGTATGCACATCTATTTTTTTACACAGAACTTTATGAAATTAAATACAGATCAAGTATTTCATTTGAAAATTTAGTGATGGAGTTGAGGTACCAAACATGCACTAGATTTAGAAAACTAAAGAAAAGGAATAAAACTATAATTTTATATTGATACATG